GCTTAGAATGTTTGTACCTGTAAAATGTTCTTTGTTTTTCATTGCACAGTTACTATGGATGTGGCCTCACAGTTCCAGAATGTCTGGAGGACTGCAGGATCCTGGATCTGGGCAGTGGAAGTGGAAGGGACTGTTATATGCTGAGTAAGCTGGTTGGACAAAAGGGATATGTTACTGGAGTGGACATGACCGATGAGCAGGTACTTTTTGTATATAGGAAAGCAGCAATTAATCATTAAAGAAAATTCCGACATTGAAGAGAAACAATAATGACCAGTTTTATGTATATTTGTGTCTAAAGGTTTACATGATGGTAAATGAAAGCTTTACTTAGTGTTTTCATTATTTGTTTAAAATCTTTATTTTACAAAGAAACATCCATACCTCAAAACTGCCCCTCATTTGGAACCAAATCCCTCTGTTCCTTTTTCCTCCTCAGTTGTCCCTCTTTTTGGTCTGATGTACAGATATCTATGAAAAGGTTCTATTCAACTACCAAAATGCACCGATACCACTTTTTTGGGTCTGAGTACGAGTACCGATACTTTTTTTTTAATCTATCTAAATTGCTATTTTGAGAAGCCAGTATAAAGAAAAAGTAATGGTGAAAAAAAAAACCCTGATCACTCTTGGCATATAAATTCTAAATGATCCACATAACTGGGACCATGGCAGGGCTGTGTCTATTGCCTAAATGCATTGTGCTTGAAAGTACCCTGCTTTGTCATCTCAGAAAGTTGGGAGGAATGAGCATCTAATAGAGGATGTAGCTGTGGTACATTGAGACCAATGGCACTTTGACTGCTTCTGCATCACCCACAGAGCCGTAGCTAGCTCCTTATGTGCCCAAGGCAAGAACAAAAAAATTTGATGTCATGAGCCTCCAGGATGTGGTTTTTTATTTATTTATTTTTTACTATTTTCTACTTATTTTGTATTATTTTTTTTACAGGGAAATATTAGGTGTCTAAAGCCCCCTGATATTTCCCCTTTAAAATAAAAAAATAAAAATTGAGGACACAGTTTCTTCAATCTCTTTTTCTGCAGCCTCTGTTCTAAATGAATAGAAAGTACAGAGGCTTCCCATTCATTCAGAAAATATTCACTATTAACCATTTTCTGAATGCGGAGAAGCCTCTGTACTGAGTGCTACTACTCATTCAGAAACTCTTGAATGAACAGGAAGTGAAGTAAAGCATCATTATCAGTATTATGTGTCCCCAGTTATTTACAAACAGTGGAGTGATCAGCTGATCCAGTGTTTGTTCCAGACACCAGAGGATCAATAAATATCACAGATATTTACCGATCCTCCATCCTGAGCCGCTCAGCCATGCACAGAGGGGCGGCACAGCCTGCAGCTTCTTCTCGGAGCTGTCACTTCAGGATGGCCGAGCGGTGAGGAGAGAGAGAGCGCAGCCGGCTGTCAGATCCTGGCCGAGCGGCTGTCTCTCTCCTCACCGCTCGGCCATCCTAAAGTGACAGCTCCCTCCCCCCAGCTTCAGCACTTCACTTGGGGTGCCCCACTTCCCCCTGCCGCACCTCGCCCTGGCTGCGCCTCTCTCCCCACCCCATCCCCCACGGGCAACTGTGCCCGAGGCGAGTGCCTCAGTTGCCTCGCCCTAGCTATGTAGCTACAGCCCTGGGGTCCCAAGAGTGAAGGACCATGTCCTTTCTCATACATTTAACCGTGTGCATAATTCTTTATCTTGCTCTATTTACAACACAGACTATTCACAGATTAGCAGTAAAACAGCCTGGTGAAAACCTGAAGTAGAAGCCATGTGCTTGCTACCTGCTGGCTGCAAGTGCTAATGAATAAATATTATGTGCACCATATAATAATTACCACTTGCAGCCCTTACAGTAATCCTTAAGGGGATGTAGAAAGTTGCTTATAAGCCCCTTCTGTCTGTCACCTCCACCTGCTATAGAAGAAATGAATACGTACATATTCTGACTCCGATTGTTGTGATAGCGATGTATCCCTTGTGAGACCTCTATGCCTGGCATGTATAAGTAGATTCAATCACTGTGACATTCATTGTCAGATAGCTGAACTCGCCAATACCGTTTCATCCACAAAGATTGCTTTATTCTGCACATCAGACAACAGGATACAGCAGATGGATGGTTTTCAGTATTATGCGGTCAAAAGATTATGCCTTACCTCGGGTACTATGCAGAGTACATGTGTCCTGATTACATGTGGCTGTTAGCTGTGGCCATGACACAGGAAATACTGACCAACAAGAAGAAGGGTAGGGCTTACATAAAGAGGAAATGTATCATCACATGAGGAAAGGAATACAGAAAAAACAGGTGCAATATCACAAAAGGCCACTAGATGGCAGCATAGGAACTAACATATAGAATGGCCATAGGAAAATGATTAAGGGAAAACAAACTATATGATTCTTATCTAACATTAATGTAATAACATATTTTACGCCCCATTGGGGCAACACTCTCCCCGTCTGACATTGTAAATGTCACTATTTACATCATACAACGGTAGTTATGCAAATAAACAATAAACGAAGTGCAATTTGTGCTGTCTTGAAGATCTGAAAGACATAAAGAAACATGCATAACAATAACAATAACTCGTAAGTCCATAAACGTGAACTTGCAGCTGTCCTCTGGACCTGAAAATAAGAGAGAACACACATGCGCAAGTTCATATGTCAGATGAATTCCATGGGTGGCAGACCTGTAAAGTTCCTTGGTTGCGAGAATAGAATAGTCTCTTTGGCAGGTCGAAGGCACTTCGAATAAGTCCATCCCTGGATGTGCATGGTGCACGTAAACACCTGAAGAACATGGCACTCACGTAACTCCAGCTGCAAAGTCTCCATGTGAAACAGGCACAGCCCCAATCCTCTGGGCGAAAAGAATAGCTGGGGTAAGGATGGCTGTAAGCTCTGAATCTGCAGTCACATCACTCTTGATGAATGGATTCAGCTTGGCAGTTGTATGGATTTTAGGAATGTCCTGCTTGTCACGGACACATTTTATCTCTGTGCTAGAGATGTTTTGTTCTGCCTCGTGCAGTAGAATAAGCTCACTTTGAGCAATGTCTTTTGCAAAAAGAAGATTTTGGCATATGTGCCAGCCCTGACAGTGAGTATCCTGGGGCTTAGTGTTTTGGCAGTGGGTAGCATGGACTAACCTTGTAGTAGTGCGGTCAGGCCTTGTCCACTTGGTGAAATGACCATAGCGTTTTGCCTTCAGGATGAATCTCTGGATCTTTGTCAGGATCTAGAAGACTGAAGTCAGGACCTGTTAACCAGTGGCGACTCTAGGAACAATATATAGGGGGGGCACATAAGATACCACAGTCAAAACTGGGGGGGGCACTAATAATTTTCACCACTAAATCATGCCACTGGGAAAAAACTAGTTTAATGTCTGGGCCCACCAAGGAAAAGTACAGCACACTGTTGCGGAGGGATCCCTCATCACTGCTGTGCGTAAGAGCAATTGCTGCTGGGGATGCACCGATACCGGTATTTTGGTACCGAGTACGAGTACCGATAATTTGTCTTCGGTACTCGCCGATACCAATTACCGAGAAACGGAAGTCCCATTCAGGAAGCCAGGTGGCGTGTAAAGACTCACCACCCGGCTTCCCGATTAACAAGAAAGTCCCCTCTTACCTTAGTACCGTATGTGCAGCCTGTCAACCCCGGGCCCTCTCCAGCGAGAACGCTGCCTTCCTCCGGTACCCAGCCGGAGCCGTCTGGCCGGCCAATCAGGAAGCCGGGCGCAGTGTAATGACGCGACGCCCTGCTTTCTGCACCCTGGGTAACTTTTAGGTGAGGTTCCCGAAGTGCATCCTCTGGTGTAGGAATTTCCTCCCTGTCGTTAGGCAACTATGAATACAGAAAAAAACAGGTGCAATATCACAAAAGGCCACTAGATGGCAGCATAGGAACTAACATATAGAATGGCCATTGGAAAATGATTAAGGGAAAACAAACGATATGATTCTTATCTAACATTAATGTAATAACATATTCTACATCCCATTGGGGTGGCACAGTACACTCCACCAAAACATATGAATGGTTGTGCACACTGGCACATGAAAAGTGCATTACAACATGCTCATGCACACACACACAGGTGTTAACAGAGTCCAGATGTTTTACTGTCTGTTTGCAGGTAATTAATTGTTCTAGTTTGCATGGTACAGTGGTGTTATGTGACTAAAAATATTTTTTTCTCTGGTCTACAGTTAGAGCTGTCAAGGAAGTACATTGATTATCACATGCAGAAGTTTGGATATGAACAGCCCAACGTGGAATTCGTCAAAGGGCACATTGAAAACCTGAAATCTGCAAATTTAGCTGATGAGACCTTTAATATTGTAATGTAGGTAACCGTAAATTGTAATTTAACAAAAAGATCCTGAGGACTTTTGGGAGCATATTTATAAAGATGTACTGCATATTCGCTGGCAATATTCACCAATGGCAAATGTTTACCCAGACAAATGTTCGCAAATGTACATTAGGTTTTTTTTTTTGTTTTTTTTACTGAATATGTTCCATGTGAGTGACACTGTCCATGGGACTGAATGGTGTTTAAACATAGCATTAGCACTTGGAGGGCTAGTTTCTAGTTATTTTGTGCCCCCTAACAACACTACCAACCCAGCACAGTAGATGTGCATGCTAGTATCTGCATGATGAGAGTGCACCCCCGTTCCACTCTCCCAAAGCACCAGTACCTGATGCTAGAAGTCACTGGGCTCTTCAGCACCCCCAGGGCCCTGAAGAGAGTACCATTATTGGAGTGGTTGTATCTGCAACTTACCTGCCACCACCAGAGGGTTCTGCAATGGGTAAAAACAAAACTGTAGTGTTCTAAATTTGACAACAAAGTTATTTCTCTGCCGATTCTTCTTCTGGCTGGGTCTACCCTTCAGTGCTCTATGTAGGATCCCTAATGGAAGGTCTACCCTTCCATACTTCTGAGACTCTGGCCATGCCAGAGAACAAATTTAAGCATGCAGGGGACTCTGAGCAGGAACATCTCTAGAGCTTTCTTGGATATCACTACTCCTAACAATATATTGGGTATGAAACATCAGTTACATAATTTCCCAGCTTGAAGACCCCCCCCCCCCTGCGCCCCATGCTGAAGCCTATACAGCTAATATAAACATGGCTGGGGGAACAATGCACAATGTCCTGGTTCCTAATGGATATTCTGGTCATTCTGGCCAACAAGCCTGGTATAGAGGACGGATAGCACAATATTTAGTAAACAAAAACAAAAAGCAATTATCCTTTCTAGTGCTTGCTGGATAGAAGGTCTCCATAGGGAATTGTTGCATTTTCTATCTAATAGGTTATCACTCACTACTTCAGACTGGTGTGTGGGAACATGAAGAGTTTTAGCTCAGTCAGGTCAGGTTTTAAATGTAAGGAATACTACAGCAAGTGCTGTTCCCTATTTAACAATAATATCAGTGATTTTTTTGCTTGGAGCATACATGTCCGACTGCCCTCTAATGTCTATGGTCAGTTTTAGTGTGTGATTAGCAAATGAGAAAGCTCTACATTAGTAATGTCTTCCTCCTGTTTCCTGTAGATCTAACTGTGTGATAAATCTTTCTCCTGATAAGAAGGCTGTGCTAAAGGAAACTTACCGTGTTCTAAAGGTAAAATATATATATTGGATGTCCCTATTTTAAAAGAAAATCTGACCTTGCACTTTTGCAGATTTTCCATAAATACAATTCAGACATTTTAGGGATAGTTCCATTGAATAGTTTCTTCCATTACCTTCTTAGATTTTTTTCCTGGGATAGTTGTGTGAAATGAATCATGCAGCAGTTCTGGCCATGAAAACGCATCAACAAGATAACTAGGCATCTAAAATCCTGTGTTTAGTTTGGCTTTCACCATAACTGTAGAAAAATACTGCTGTGCGCTTTGGCATTCAAATGCAAGGATTCAATAACATTCTTCATGGCATTTTAACAGTAGCAGGCTACTATATGACCACTAGGTGGCAGTATATCCCTACATTTCATCTGTAGGAGAATTCTATAAAACCTGTACTGAGCAAATAAGAAAGCCTTGTACACAGGCAGAAGAAAAATGCTGCTTTTAGAAGCATCTTTCTTTTATTTATGACTTTGAATGCAGCTGAATTTCTGCCAATGTGTTCATATACATTGTGGCATTTAGATCTGTTCAAGGGGCATAAAAAAATGCACTAAACTGCATTCAGGTGGAGCTTACTGGCAAAATTTACATACATATGTACATCAACACGTACAGTATAAGACATGTATGTACATACATTTATTCTAGTGGTTAGAATAAATTAATAGAATGAATGAATATTCTAACCACTACCTTTTACGCATATACACCTCTAAATGCTGTACATAGATAAACGCCAGTAAATATGCACCAAAATGCAAATTTCTTACGCTGGATTTTTTTTCTGCCAGCTTCTGGAACAAAGATCCAGTGTAGATGGGAGTACTATAATACACTTGTGTGCATAAGCCCAAAGCTTGGAATTACTAACGTTTCCATTGGAAAATACTAGTTGCTTGGAGATCATGTTGGTCCAGTGAATTCAGCAATTTCTGACCTGTAGCAGTTTTTAGGATCAAGAGGTCTGATTTCACTCTTACTTGTATGCTGTCTATATTGTTGTTGTAGAGTAGTGACTACAATTATTGAAGGAAGAAACAGCCAGGCAACTAGTATTTCTAGAAAAAAAGATCAGCAATTGCAACCCCTATATTTCTCTAAGTAGGGCACGACCCCGTTGTCATGGTGCACATCGGCACCAATGACAAAATAGGAGGAAATTGGAGTGTCCTTAAACAGGAGTTCAGAGACCTAGGTGCTAGGATGAAGGAAAGGACCTAGTTTCGTATTAATAGTCATTCAACAGTTTTAGAGATATGTCAAGCTCCTGCGTCTTCAGCCCCACATTCCTCTGGACACTTCTTAGTTGAAGTGCTGAGAAACCTAGAGACAAGTGCTTGTGTGAATTGAGTTATGTCCCATCCTTAGGGTGTACATTGTGAGCATCAGGAATACAGGTGCCATCCCCTATAGGCAATTATAGGCATATTTTATCTAGCCTGAAAGTTTAGATGTTCTCAGGGTAGACATAGTTCTCCATTAATCAAAAGGTGTCTTCACAAAAAAAATGGGAATTAATTAATATTATTTAATATGTTTCTCATGTAAAGGGTGACATTGCATAATTTCTTTACATTTCTCCATATTCTGTTTTTAGTACGGGGGAGAAATTTTCTTCAGTGACATGTATATTGACAAGAAGCTTCCGGAGGAACTTAAAAAAAACAAAATGTTGTGGGGTGAGTATACGAGGATAAGTGTACATACATTATAGGTCTGATGTATTAAAACTGTTACACATGGTAGCTTTCAGTTCCAGCTCGGAAATTAAATGAATATTCAGCTAATGGATATGGGCATAACAGTCATCATTGTTATGTATGAAAGCAATTATTATTATAATACAGGATTTATATAGCGCCAACAGTTTGCGCAACACTTTGCAATATAAGGAATACAATCACAATACAATTCAAGACAAGATGGTAAGGAGGGCCCTGCCCGTGATGGCTTACAATCTAAAAGGGAGGGGCAAGTGATACATGAGGAGGTAGCTGTGTGGGGAGGAAATGTTTGAGAATGTGATGGTTAAACAACATTCTTGAAAATTAAATTGCAGGAATATGTAAGAGATGAATTGGTTCCCTTCATAACAACACACTGCAAGGACCAAAAACATTGAGTGCAAATTACATTAATTAATAAATCACAAATCGATTAAAGGCAAGCCATTACAAGAAATATTGATATGACAGATTGCTATGGATACTGCATTTAGCATTTATTATTTTGCTCCTTACACTCATTTTCTTAATAAGTCTTAACATTTTTTTTCCTGAATTAATGTTTTGTTAACATTTAAACAATACAATAAAACATGATTTCAGTAAAAAAAGGGATTGATTTTTTTACTGAAACGGGATCTATTTATTAACAATTTGCACCAATTCACCCTGTGAATATCTGTGAGGGTTTGTTTTGTATAAATAATAACAAAAAAGAATGTTCTTAGTATATTTTCTTTCCAGGTTGAATGTATTGTGATGTAATACTTCATTATGGCCACTAGATGGAGCTGAGGAGTATAGAAAATAAGTATCTCCATCCACTGGCTATAACGTCATTATACAAAGTAGGGATGCACCGATACCACTTTTTTAAGACCCAGTACGAGTACCGATACTTTTGATCAAGTACTCGCAGATACCAATTACCGATACTTTTTCTTAAAGGGACAGGTCACATTTTTTCTAAAGCAATACAAACTAATGCTTTAAGGTCACTTTCTTAATATTATGATTCATGAGATGACGAGGGAGCATGATGCCGGCTTCCCGGCCAATCGGAATGCGGGGCGCTGCGTCATTACACGGCGCCCGGCTTCCGGATTTGCCAGCTTCCTGACCAATCAGGAAGCCGGGCAGCGCGTCATTGCACGCTACCCAGCTTCCTGATTGGCCGGGAAGTCGGCTCCATGCTCTCTCATGACAAGTGACGAGAGAGCATGGAGCCGTTTCCTGGCCAATCAGGAAACCGGGCAACGGCTTCCTGATACAGGAAGTACTCGTGCTAGGTATCGGAGCATTTGGGAGAGTACGAGTACTCACCCAAATACTCGGTATCAGCACCGATACCGATACTAGTATCGGTATCGGTGCATCCCTGAAACAAATAATGACAAAAAGGAAAGTTCTTACTATATTTTTTTTCCAGGTTGAATGCATTGTGATGTAATACTTCAGTATGGGGGAGCAAGCTTGGAGCGGTGGAAGTAAAAAAAAAGTGTGGTGTGCAATATAGTACATTATACAGCGGCACAACAACGGTACTATTGCTGGGATTTGTAGTCCTCTGTAGCTGGCGTTACTCTGCAGTGCGCTGTATAATGATTATACTACGCAATGCAGATTACCAGCAGCGATAGAGGAATACAACAAATGCCAGCAATAGTCCTTTATACTATAATGTATTATTGCTGGGATTTGTAGTCCTCTATAGCTGCTGGTATTCTGCATTGTGCTGTATAATTATTATACGGCGCAATGCAGAATACCAGCAGCTATAGAGGAACAACAAATCCCAGCAATAATACATTATACAAGGTCTTTAATATATTATTGCTGGGATTTGTTGTTCCTCTATAGCTGCTGGTGTTCTGCAGTGTGCCGCTTTTTTTTTTGTAAAAACAGGAAACATTAAAAAGGTTTAGTATCTCTTTGCTGAGTGACTTGTTTTTAATTGTGGGCCTTTGATTGTCGGCGGGCAGCGGCGAGTCAGGAAGCTCACAGGGAGGAGAGGAGTAGAGGTCCTCAGCGTGCATGGCTTGTGCGGCTTAACCGGCGTGTGCAGTCGGCGTGGCATGCGCGGCATAAGGTCTGCGGTGTGGTGCGTGGAGCCGCGAACAGGCAATGTAATTGATAGCCGACTAATCGACGATGGAAAACAGGCGTATGGGTAACTGCAGCACTAAAGCTGTGCTAAAACTACCACCATGCCCCTGCCTCTAGGAGTCATGCCTGTGATGGTCAGAGTCTTGCAATGCCTCATGGGAGTTGTAGTTCCACAACAGCTGGAGTGCCAAGGCTGCCTACTCCTGATCTTTCTGCTTTATCCACATGGAAGATACACCATGCTTTCTGCAGCCCAGTCAGAATTGAGTCAATTTGACAGAATTTTGTAACATGGCATGACTGGGCACACATGCACATTGCAACAATCCAGTCCTGATTTATTAATAACTAATGAAAAATGTGAATAGGCTTTGCAGCACTGTTCAGTTTATGAATGTCCTCTAACATTACATCTTCTTACACCTGAGTAAAATATCATGCTGAATGTGCTTCTGGTGAGTGATAGATTAATTCTTATGAATACAGGGGAGGGCATTGCTGGAGCATTGTTGTGGAAAGACCTCTTTCAAGTGGCTGAAGAGATTGGATTCAGTCCCCCTCGACTAGTCACCTCCAGATACCTCACCATTAACCAGGAGCTGAGAGATATCGTCGGTAAGTTGACTGGAAGATTATTATTTTGTATTTAAAAAGTAGACCATACATTAAGATTTGTTTCATCAAATTAGTCTGTTTATGAACAATTTGCAGGGCCCGTCACCATGTGAATAGCTGTAAATATTTGTTTTGCCAAATAATAGCAAAAATGAATGTTCTTAAAAGATTTTTTCTCAGCTCAAATGTAATGTTGTTGTATTACATTATAGCCACTAAATTGAGCTTTTCCCAGTTCAAATGTAGTGTGTTGTAATAATACATTATGTCCACTAGATGGAGCTGGAGAGCATAGGAAATAAATGCGCCCCCCCCCCCCCCCCCACCCACTACATTTCGCAT